GAGGAGGAGGAGGAGGAGGAGGAGGAGGAGGAGGATGGTGGGGTCCTTGGTGCTCTCTGAACTTGGTGGCTTTTCTTGCAGACATCTCATGACCCAACTAGGGAACATCATCAGTGCTAGAAGGGAGGGAGAGTTATGGGGAGGAGGGAGGGAGGGAGAAGTAGAAAGAGGAGGAAGAGTAGTGGGGAGAAGAGGGATGCAGGGAGAAGGAGGAAGAGAAAGAGGAGGAGGAGGAGGAGAAGGAGGGAGGGAGGAAGACGAGGAGAAACAGAAGGAGGAGGAGGAGAGAGGGAGGGAGGAAGAAGAAGAAGAAGAGGGAGGGAGGGACAGAGGGAGGGAGAAAAGGAACAGGAGGAGGAGGAGGAGGAGGAGGAGGGTGGGGTCCTTGGTGCTCTCTGAACTTGGTTCTTTTCTTGCAGACATCTCATGACCCAACTAGGTAACATCATCAGTGCTGGAAGGGAGGGGAGGTTGCAGAATGGAGGTTCCCACTATGGACTCTGCTTATTAGAAGCCAGCCAAGAAGGTTGCAAATGTTCATATTGTGACACTGGGATGCTGCAACCATCATAAGTATGAAAAAGTCGTCAGTAACTGCGAAAGTTATAAATGCGAGGACACACAACGTAAGTCACCTTTGCTGTGGTAACTTCAAATGGTTGTTAAACAAATGGCTGTAAGTCAAGGATTACCTGTACACTGAATTATCTTGATCCCGATCCAGGTGTCCTCAACTTACAACAGTTCGTTTAGTGACCATTCAAAGTTACAATGGCCCTGAAAAAATGGACTTGTGACTGTTTTTTTCCATTGCAGCATCTGCACGGTCATGTGATCAAAAGTCAGACACTTGGCAACTGGCTCGTATTTATGACGGTTGCTGTGTCTCATGATCCCCTTTGGCCACCTTCTGATGAGCAAAGTCATTGGGGAAGCCAGATTCACTTAACGACTGTGGTGAGAAAGTTTGTAAAATGGGCCAAAACTCACATGTTGGGCTCAGTTGTGGTCATAACTTGAGGACTACCAGTATACATAGTCCCTTCAGACCCCAAGGCACCCTTTTCAGTGCTGTTGTAACATCTGAACAAATGGCTGTAAATCAAGGACTATCTGCATGCTGAATTATCTCGAACCACATTAAGGCAATTAAAAATCAAGGCAGAAGAAATGAAACATAGAAGATGAAAATTGCAAAATCATCATCATGTTTTTTATATTCATTTCTAGGCTCCTAGCCTGGGCCAAATCCTCTTAAATTTAAAAGGTGGTTGTTGGGTATTTTTTGCAAATTCTAGCCAAGTAAAAAATATAGGAAAAAAATCCAGTTTTGGTTTCAGAACCTGAAAGTCTCCAACTTCACTAAACCGCTAATTCCAGAAACGATGAGAAAATCTAGCCAATTCTGGAAATTAGTACTTTTGGAAGAGACCTACCAGTATTGGACAAACACAAAGCTAAATGGGGATTTGAACCCGTGCCTGACCACTCTTCAACCACTACACATTTGGTTCTGGTTTTCGAAACACACGATTGAGTTTGGTGTACAAATTGCAATTATTTAAAAAAAAAACAACTGTAAAAGCTGTGCCGTCATGAATGGTGGTTTAAAGTTTTCGATGGATGCCACTTCAAAGTTTGTGCCTCGACTTATGACCGTCATTGAGCATGCAATTTCTGCTGGAAGTCATGGAGGTTGTGAACCAGGTCACAGCGTGGCCCGATTTCCTGAACTTTATTGCCACAATCGTTAAACGGATCCAGCGGTCAGAAAGTGAACCCAGAAGTCATGAAGCGAACACAAGGGGTTGTTAAGCAAACCCATGCTTTGCTAGGGGGCATTTTTTGCCCAAAATAAGAAATAAATGCCGATTGCCAGCAAAAAATAATCATCATCATAAATTGACATGAGTATAGGACACCTCAAAAGAGTATAAATGCAGACTGTTTGCCAAGTGCCCTATATGTGACCGCATGAGTGCAGAGGGGAGGAAGAGGAGGAGGAGAATACAGTTAATCAGAGTTGGAAGGGACCTTGTAGCTCATCTAGTCCAACCCCCTGCCCAAGGACGAGACCCTGTATACCATTTCTGACCGAGGGCAGTCCCGTCTCTTCTTGAAAGCCTCCAGTGATGAAGCTCCCACAACTTCTGAAGGCAACTTCTGTTCCCTGGGTTGATTGTTTTTACTGTCAGAGAGGTTGGAGGAGGAGGAAAAAAAGGAGGAGGAGGAGAGGAAAGGAGGAGGGGGGAGGAGGAAGAGAAGGAGGAGAAGAGGAAGAGGAAGAAAGGAGGAGGGGCGAGAGAAGAACAGTGGGGTTCTTGGAGCTCTGAGCTAGGTGGTTTTCTTGTAGACGTTTCATGACTCAATTCGGGAAGATCCCCATTGCTGGAAGGAAGTGGGGTTTGCACAATGGAGGAGGAGAGGAGCGGGGAGAAACCCCTCCTCCTTCTGCCCAAACTCCTGAGGTCAAGGGTGTCAAACTCAATGTCATTGACAGCCGCATCAGGGTTGTGTTTGACCTTGGGGGGGGAGCCGCGGGTGGCATGGCCAGCGCGACATCACTGGTGTTGGGGATACCTGTGGTGGCCTGGGCAGGTCCTTCGCTATTTCCAGGGCAGTGCCGTGGGCCAGACCGGAGCACCTCGTGGGCCAGATCCACAGGGCTTGAGTTCGACTCTCCTGCCTCAGGGGATCTCCTTAAACTTAAGGAGGTTCTGAAATGCGGGGTGGGGGGTGGTGTTCGCCCACCACAGGGCACCAAAGCCTCCCGCGTGACTTCAATCCGATCACCAGGAAACGTCGCGTCCTGCTCCCATCTCAGGCACCAAAGCCACCTGGCCAATTTTGGGCCCGGTCGCCAGGCGCCTGGGAGTTCCAGCCCCACCCTAGGCACCAAAGCCACCTGGAGTAGGAAACGATCCTTCTGCCTCCTTTCCAAACCCTACACCACTTCTGCAAACCCCACCATTCGAGTTTTGGTATCTCCAGTTCTTGGAGGTTCCTGGATTTCCCCAGACTTTCAGGAGGAGAGACCGGCCGCTGAACCCTAACCCTGCCTGCTTGCAAAGCATGTGTTGGACCGCAACGTTGTCGTCCCACCCCTCCCAAAAGCACAGACCACGTCCAAATTCTTGGCAGGAGTTGGGCTCACCAGCTCCGGTTTCAACCTCCACATCTCCAGTTCTGCGGCACGAGGACCTTTTTGCTGGCTCGCTTTGCAACCTCTGGGTTGCTAGTTTGATTTATTTCTCGCCATCTGCATACGCAATACTTTTTATCGGGGGAGGGGGGGAGGCGGAGAAGGGGGGGTGCAGCGCAGAACCGGCTCTGTGTGTGTTCTCCTGAGTTAATATTTCCTGTGGCGTCCGTACCTCTAAGTCTGTTTATTTCCTTACTCTAGCAAAACCAGCAGACTTTTGCATGGAACTGTTGATGTTTTCCCTGGCTGAACTTCCTGCAGAGAAGACTCCGAAAATTATAATTCTATTACAAAGTTGTTGGGGA